CCCGGCTGCCTGCACTTCATCATCGCCGCCGTCTCCTTTGCCCTCGCCGCCGCCGCCGCCGCCCGCAGCATCTTTCGTCGCCGCCACCGCCGTCCGGCTCGCCCTCGCCACCGCCTCCCTCCACCTCGCCATCGCCGCCGCCTCCGTCCGTGTCGCCCTCGCCGCCGCCTCCCTCGGCATCGCCGTCGCCGCCGCCGCCGTCCGCGTCGCCCTCGCCGCCGCCTCCCTCCGCCTCACCGTCTCCGCCGCCGCCGTCCACCTCACCGTCACCACCACCTCCCTCCGCCTCGCCCTCGCCGCCGCCGCCGTCCACCTCACCGTCACCGCCCCCTCCCTCCGCCTCGCCGTCGCCGCCGCCGCCGTCCGCCTCGCCGTCGCCGCCACCGCCGTCCGCCTCGCCGTCGCTGCCGCCGCCCTCCGCCTCGCCCTCGCCACCGCCTCCCTCCACCTCGCCATCGCCGCCGCCTCCGTCCGTGTCGCCCTCGCCGCCGCCTCCCTCGGCATCGCCGTCGCCACCGCCTCCCTCCGCCTCGCCCTCGCCGCCACCGCCCTCCGCCTCGCCCTCGCCGCCGCCTCCCTCCGCCTCGCCCTCGCCGCCGCCTCCGTCCGCCTCGCCGTCGCCGCCGCCTCCCTCGGCATCGCCGTCGCCGCCGCCGCCCTCAGCATCGCCCTCGCCGCCGCCTCCCTCCGCCTCGCCCTCGCCACCGCCTCCCTCCGCCTCGCCCTCGCCGCCGCCTCCGTCCGCCTCGCCGTCGCCGCCGCCTCCCTCGGCATCGCCGTCGCCACCGCCGCCCTCAGCATCGCCGTCGCCGCCACCGCCGTCCGCCTCGCCCTCGCCACCGCCTCCCTCCACCTCGCCATCGCCGCCGCCTCCGTCCGTGTCGCCCTCGCCGCCGCCTCCCTCGACATCGCCGTCGCCGCCGCCTCCCTCCGCGTCGCCCTCGCCGCCGCCTCCCTCCGCCTCACCGTCACCACCGGCTCCGTCCGCCTCACCCTCGCCGCCGCCGCCGTCCACCTCACCGTCACCGCCCCCTCCCTCCGCCTCGCCGTCGTCGCCGCCGCCCTCCGCGTCGCCCTCGCCGCCGCCTCCTTCCGCCTCACCATCGCCGCCGCCTCCCTCCGCCTCACCATCGCCGCCGCCTCCGTCCGCCTCGCCGTCGCCGCCGCCTCCCTCGGCATCGCCGTCGCCACCGCCGCCCTCAGCATCGCCGTCGCCGCCACCTCCGTCCGCCTCGCCCTCGCCACCGCCTCCCTCCACCTCGCCATCGCCGCCGCCTCCGTCCGTGTCGCCCTCGCCGCCGCCTCCCTCGGCATCGCCGTCGCCGCCGCCGCCGTCCACCTCACCGTCACCACCGCCTCCGTCAGCCTCACCATCGCCGCCGCCTCCCTCCGCCTCGCCCTCGCCGCCGCCGCCGTGCGCCTCACCGTCGCCGCCACCTCCATCCGCCTCGCCGTGGCCACCGCCTCCCTCAGCATCGCCGTCGCCGCCGCCGCCGTCCGCCTCGCCCTCGCCACCGCCTCCGTCCGCCTCGCCCTCGCCGCCGCCTCCGTCCGCCTCACCATCGCCGCAGCCTCCGTCCGCCTCGCCGTCGCCACCGCCTCCCTCGACATCGCCGTCGCCGCCACCGCCGTCCGCCTCGCCCTCGCCACCGCCTCCCTCCGCCTCGCCCTCGCCGCCACCTCCCTCCGCCTCACCGTCGCCGCCACCTCCCTCGGCATCGCCGTCGCCGCCACCGCCGTCCGCCTCGCCCTCGCCGCCGCCTCCCTCCACCTCGCCATCGCCGCCGCCTCCCTCCGCCTCACCATCGCCGCCGCCTCCCTCGGCATCGCCGTCGCCGCCGCCGCCGTCCGCGTCGCCCTCGCCGCCGCCGCCCTCCGCCTCACCATCGCCGCCGCCTCCCTCCGCCTCGCCCTCGCCGCCGCCGCCGTCCGCCTCACCGTCGCCGCCACCTCCGTCCGCCTCGCCACCGTCTCCGCCGCCATCGCCGCCGCCACCCTCACCACCGCCATCGCCGTCACCGCCCTCGCCACCGCCCTTGCCGCCACCGTCACCACCACCCTCGCCACCACCTTTACCGCCACCCTCACCTCCGCCACCGTCGCCGCCTCCCTCACCACCGCTGTCGTTGCCACTTCCCTCACCGCCACCGCCGTCGCCGCCGCCCAGCCCACCACCGCCCTGGCCGCCTCCACCCTCGCCACCTCCTAGCCCGCCGCCTCC